AGTGGGCAGTGGCACCGCTGCCTTTTCAGGAGGTCAAGATTCCCAGCGAGGGAGGAAATTTCCCGATTTCCCGTATATCCAGTCCACCTCTGATTACATGTCTTAACTACAGTTCGATGGATATATTCCATAATGTTTCTGGCCAACAGTCCCCCAGATAAAATTGGTAATTTATGGCTGTTTTGTGGGACATTGCTGTGCGCAAATTAGCTGCTGCATTTGCCCTACAAATTAGTCACAGAACTTTACATTTATATCCCACTTTGAGATGTCCTCCTGATGTGAAAGGAACTAATCAAATGTAAGGATTATCAAATAATGTAGGTTCTCCAGTTGTCAGTGGTTGCTTTTTGGTTGCTGTGTTGATACTAGAAGTAGGGGGAAATTGATTAAACCCCTGTCTATACCTGCGCACCAATATAGAGTCGGTGATTTCCATGTGGCTGTAGGAAATGAGTGGTGCCATCAACAAAGTAGCAAATCTGTGTGAGGTGCAGAAAGAGCAGTAGAGGGCGACAGAAAACACCTTTCTTAACCTTTCATACAAGCAAGGCCTGGGGATGGTGAGAGTGGCCATAACTCCAATGGTATAAATATAAATTGTGAAGACTGGAAAGCATTGTATGTTTCACCCACCAGAGCAGTGAAGCTGCAAATGTCAGTAAGATGTATTTTGTATGACATGGAAGGGGTCTAATATTACAGTGTTAATTTATCTTCAGTTATTTAGCAATCTGCTGCAGCATCATGCACCCAGCCGGGGAGACTTGGTTTATGAATGGATTCCTTTCCAAAGAAGTCACTGCAAGATAGCAGAATACTGAAGTGACTGAATGATCATCACTCATTGAAATCACACATAAACATGACTGATAATAGCCGATAATTACAGCAGTTTATTTTGTTCGATAAAGAGTTTATCTGCAAAAGAATAGTAACATAAAGTGGCTAATTGCTGACAGATTTTGTTGAAATCCAGCTTTTACTGTGAGTTTTCCCAGTTTGACATCATTTGTGCATCTTTTTGAGTTGTAATTTCTCTGTTCTTCCTACCATTCCTTCCCCAATGTTGTGCAGCACGATTATCCAGCCCTGCACCCTCTGCTTCACTTGTGCCAACATTTGTGCCAACTATTACTTCTTTACTATCCTCTCCCGAGAAGCTGGTGCATACAGGTTGAGAGAGGCTGGTGAATATTGAGCTGCAGTTTGTGCAGCAGCATAACTTGCCCCCTCTGGCACAAGATGAGTTGTGGATGCTACATCAACTGCAAACAGGGGAATATATTTACCAATAATAGGAGCCCGGCCTCTGCTGTAATAGATGGTTGGCATTTCCCTGATCATACAAGCCAATGATATTAAATGCAATATTCATTACTGTTTCCTCGTAACAGAGAAGTTATGAAGCCCGACAGGGCACAACCAATCAATTTTCTGCACATAAGAAAGAGATAGCCCTTCTGATTTGATTAGATTAAGAAATGACAGGCTTTATGCATATGTAAAGATGAAGGACTGGCAATCTAAATTGAGCGAACACCATGTACACGTTTGCATTTGGTATAGCACCTTTCACATCGGCAGGATGTCTCAAAGTGCTCTACAGTATTTACTGTGGTGTAATCACTGTTTGTGTATAAATGTTCTCCCTCTCTTCAAAATATTTTGCACAAAGAATTAAGTAGCAATGGTTGGAATGGGATGAAAGAATTGCTAAGTGGATGGGGCGGGGGTAGTGGGGCGAGGTCGGTGAAGGATGTACTCAAGGCCTCAAGAAGGAAACGACAAGTCAGCAATAATATGTGGAATATTCTCATAGCCAGTGATGCAGGAAGTATTCCAAATACACCAAGGTTTAACATCTCTAGAACAATCTCTTTATTGGAGTTTGAAGACGCATTGAAATAAACACAAAATGCATAAATAGAAAAACAACGAACATGAATATGTAGAAATAAAGCAGGATCAAGGTGCAATGCTTTGCATGGTGGCTAAGTTTGGTGCACTTGGGCAATGCAGTTCATTTGGCTACAGTTCATTAGCAGATCAAACATTTGGGATTTCCCACTCTTTGCATTTTGATTACAAAGGACAGATGTCAGAGAAACTTACATCATGCAAGCCAGCAGTGGACAGTGAATTACAAGCTACAAGTTAAGATGCATGCCTGGCTTCAAAGAAGTTATCATTGAGAATGGTATTGAGGGACGGGGTGGGGGGCTAGGGAGGGTCCACATTTGAGTCCATTTGCTGCTTTCCATATCAAATATCATTATATTGACTCCATTGTACATTTACAATAGAATGTCCCATTATTTGAGCTGCCAAGCAAAGTACCACTCCCCTGACTGTTGACATATATCTGACAAACATATGTCATAAGCCAATGCAAGCTCTCGTAACATAATAATAATCATTGTTTAATGTAAAAAAAGAGTCTGGTCATTAATGATAATTGTATTCCCCCATTAACTTTACAGTCTTATTCTCATAATATCATATTTTAGTAAAGTGAGGTTTGTTTTGGAATTTTTAAAAATATTTTACAAAGTGAAGAAAGAATATCAGAATGCAGCAGCTGATATACTTAATTCGACAAAACATTAAGTTCATTAGATATTAGCCGTTGTTCCCAGGATACTCTTGAAGAATTTTCTCTCAGGTTCCTATTCTCCTGAATAATACTTTGCAGTTTGTTTTGTTCCCTCCACCATTGCATTACACAATTATATCTAGAATTGACAACATTCTTCACGAGTAAATAAACAGCAGCACTAAGGTGTTAGCATAATGAATACTGCAGGAATTGCTTTCAAAGGCTGAAGCACTAACATGGGAGAAATCAATGGAATAAAGGATGCAGAGTACGGTGAAATAATCGATCAAAACACTAAGGAAAGTCTGCTCAGGGGTCAAGGTTTAAAAAGGGAGCTCACAGATAGGAACTAAAAGAATGATTTTGTGCACTGAATGTCCATGGTGTTGGTGACCACTCTGCTACCGCCTGGGGCTGAGATGGCTCCAGCTATTTAAAACACATGTCAATGTATTCAATGTAAGAATCAAGGCAGTCAGAAAATCCATGAAAGGAAGATGACAAATTTGCATGAAGTTGGTACAATAGAAGAGTAAAATGCATTGCACCTTTACAACTACATTCCTTCAAGCTAACATAACCTTTGCATTTAATATAGTTAATCATATATAATATATGTAGTTAATATATTTAATCATTAAGTTATCAAGACATCGCAAAGCGATATTTTACAGGATATGCTTTAAAGTGCAGTGACTGTGTCTTATTTCGCGGGCAAACGCTGCAGCCAATTTGCCCACAGCAATGCCCCACAAATAGCCAAGGTGTGAATGACCAATCCTATTTAGGGGATTGTTGGCCAGGACACCAGGATACATTCGCTTTTTAATAAGGATCCATTGACAACGGATGGTGGCCATGGAGAAGCCCACAGCTTGGACCACTCTGCACAGAAAAGGAAGCACAGCAGCGAGTAGAGTTTTATCTACTAACGTTTTTTAAAAAAACAAATGAGAAAGGATTAAATTAAAATGTCAGCAACAGTGCACACAAAAATAAGGTGTAAATTACACCCAACATTATGCCAGATGCTGCAATTTACAGCCTATTTTGGGAACAATACTGAAAATGGAAAACGATTGTGGCTTGATTTACAAGCATTGGAACTGATAAGTGTTGCCAATCAGCACCAGCACATTTTTTTGAGAGCTCCTGCGAAGTTTTGGCTAAATCTTTCGCCCAAGTTCAGTGTATTGATCATTTAATTAACAAAGCAGTGAAACCCTAGGAAACATTGTCCAGAATTCCCTGTAAAACTGAAAAGGCTTCTTCATTCAAAATAAAAGATCAGAATTGTTCTAAATATACCAACATCCCATTCAGTATAATACAGAAACACAATGTTCTACCAGCCAGAGAATGGTCATGTCACATCAGAGCTTGCATCAGTAACTTTGTTCAAATTTGCAATTGAATTTGTTGGGGCTTGTAATCTTTTTCCTCTCTGTCCAACTCATACATTCTAATGAAAAAGATCTGATGGATGTAACCCAATACTGAAGCCGCAATATTATTTTCCAGCAAAAATGCTCCATACTAGTGCAGCACTGTATTCTAATGATTTGGCCAGACACAAAAATATTTTGAAAAAACTATAAACATCAGTATATTTTTTGTAATCTTTGGGGAAAAATGGGAGAATAAGAGGCATCAAGATTAGCCTGCTGTTGACATAGCTTAACTGAAGGATGGACACAATCCATCGAGTTGTCATGTTAATGAAATAACTAATATTTACTGTACTTTCTAAATGCTCAATGGTTGTCATTCTTGTTAAAGGAAGGGGCGGGGTGAGTGGATGTGAGTGATGGGATTTGGGTTCTGAACAGTCTTGCCTTTAGGAACTTCTCATCTTTGGAAAAAAACTGTTGTACATTTATAAATACTTTTTTTTTGCAAAATGAAATAAAAACCATTTCACAGATGCTTTGCATTGTTCCTGCTACTTTTTCCCCATGAGGTGAAATTACTTTCACATGGCGAACGACAAGAATCTTAAACTTGATAACAACTCAAGTACTGTATTTTAAATTGTGCATGGCATGGGGGGGTGTGGGAAAGAAATGTGACTTGTGATGTGATAATTATCTCCAATGCTAGTTATCACATGGACGGAAAATGCTGTCAAAAGTGGACTTTAAAACCTGGCCTTAATGGCAGGTTTGGAAGATCACACCATCCTTCCCCACAACATCAGAAGAGCTTGCCCAGAGGCTGCTGAAGATTCAATACAGGCCCTACTTCGTTTTAGCAAGTGAGCAGCGCGGATAGCATTATTCACTGCTGCTTCACCAGATACGGTCTTAAAATAAAATAAACCGTGACAATTATCACATCACAAGTCACACACATACACCCTTCCCCAATATATTATATTACACTTTTAAACCCAGAAGCTAAATTTTAATTTCAAGTACATAAATTATTATTTTAAATAAGAAACACGTTTTAATATACAGCTAACGTCAGCCACAGTTTCCTTTATTTACACAAACTACAGTACATTTCACCTTATTCTAACCTGCTGTGCTTTGTCTTTTTTTTGTAAATTGGCTTCACTTTCTACCTAAAACCTAATGTCATGCATATTTTCTGCCATGATGATCAGTATGAACCATCAGACAAGGATCTGCTTACAGTTGAATTCATACGCGCACGTGATCATCTGTTTATTGTGCCATCTGTAGCCTGATAGACGGACGGAACGGTCATAAATGGTTCGTTCAGTTTCTGCTCCTCCTTCGGAGTGGGCACACTGTCCACCACTGAAGAAAATGAAAATTGTTCATGGTCCACAATGTTCAGCTGATCTTCCTCTTTTTCCTTCTTCACATAGAAGATTCTCTTGAACTGCTTGAGTTCGCGAAGCTCGCAGAAGGTCTCGAGGACAACCAGCACAGCGGTGAGGCCAATCATGAGGTAGACTGGAGAAAGAAGAAACATTGTAACTGGATGATCCCGTTCAACATTCAACAACAGTCTACAGTTCTACCTCTTCCGCACCCCCCAGCCCACCGTGGCGCCTACCCCCAGCTGGGTGCTAAGCCAGTTTTATTAAGTGATCCTCCTGATGTGAAAGGTGCTATATAAATGTACATTTGTATTGTATTGTAGGCAACTACAAATACAAGGATTTCCTTGTATGTCAAATTTGGTATGAGCACTTCATAGATTAATACTGTGAAGTATTAATCGACTTCATGATCCTCACACTTGTGTTCAAATCCATTCACTCCTTGGCACCTCCCTACCTCTCCGAACTCACTTCCCAATCCGGCGCCTCCGCTCAACTGGCACCGGCCTCCTGCTCGTCCCTCGCACCCTCCACTCCACCATCAGAGGTCAGGCTTTCATCCACTATGACCCCAAACTCTCGAACATTCTCCCGCAATCCCTCTGCCTTGCCCCCTCTCTCCCCTCTTTCAAGTCCCGCCTGAAAACTTTCCTCTTCGACCGTGCTTACGGCCACTCCCCCGCCTCCCCCCAGCTCGGAGTCAGGCTCCGCCACTGTTAAGCACTCTAAGATGCTACCCTGCGTGGATGGCGCTATATAAGTTGATGTTGTTGTAGTAAAGTGTAGTGACTGTGTATTTGTAGGCGAACGCAGCAGCCAATTTGCGCATAGCAATGTGCTACTAACAGCCATTATGGGAATGACTGATTTTACATGGGAGATTGTTGTTAAAGATATCAGGAGAAACTCCCTTCTCTTTTTTAATAGTGCTTTGGTATCCACCTGAACAGGCAGATGAGACTTCGCCTAACATCTCAGTCGAAGGACGGTACCTCTAACAATGCAGTGTTCTTAAGAGTGTCATCTTTGCTTGTGAATTCAAGTCCTGATGTGGGGCTTCAACCTATTGCCTTCTGACTCAGAAGCGAGCGTGCTACCAACTGAACCAGAATATTTATTGAGATTAGCACAATGGGGTTTCCTGTCCCTCAGTATAAAGTTATTTATGATAAATTGGCACAATCAGTCTAATTTTTATTTTTGGGAGTTGGTCACTAAATATTACACTTCTTGGTTATGTGTGATCATATCGCACGGCAAATTAGTTCAGATGCGGGAAAACACGACTTTTGAAGTTACTTAAGCATTTTCTTAATTACTTTTGCCCTCGGCCACCACATCAACACAACAAAATTACATTCATGGAGCGTCTTTCATATCGGGAGGACGTCCCAAGGCGCTGTGGTGTAGTCGAGTAGATGTACCAAATGTATTTGTGGTCTCGCCAAATTGTTTCCTCTTACTAAGGGGTTTCAAATCCAGCTTTTATCCATGTCTAAATGTCATTGTTTAGTGTTTTAGAGGGTGGGGTGGGGGGAGAGGAAATAATTTTTTTTTGATCAGTCGGGTCAGGCTTGAGGGCTCCAAGAGTATGTGTTGAGGACTGCTGGAGTTTAATCAGCTAAAACCACATAGCTTACCACTGAAAATATTGTCTACCATGCTTCCTGCTACTTGTCCAGCTAGGCCACTCTACGTGTTAGTGCTTCGGCTTGCAGAGGTAACAGGAGATGGACAGAGGAACTAGATAGCAATCATGAATGGGAACACTGGCCGATTTTCCCCTTCTTATCCTTGGTCCTTAGGAACCAGTTATGGCGCCCTTAGTACCAACCCAACTAAGATCCGCTAACTCAGCATAGACCTGGGACTTTCCTGGCTTGTATGGGCCAGATGCGGACTGATCAACAGATTGTTAGTAAACACTGGTAAGTTGGCTGATTGGCCATTATTTAATGCTCTTTATTTGAACGTTTCCCAATTTAACAGAAGAGACTAAAATTGTGGATGAGAATTTTGTTGTCCAGGAAGAAATCACAAAAGGCCAACCCTAACCTTCGTGGGAATTGGTTGAAGTCTCACTTTCCCAGATACCCTTTTCTCAGCACTCCAATAGGCTATCCTGTGTGAAGGGGGTTAGATAAATTGTTGTTTCTCAGTCTAGTTTCATCCTAAATTGTGCAAAGGAAACTATGGCATTGCTTACCAGTTATTCCAAGTTTATAAAGCTCTCTAAACTTCTGGTGGTAAACTTCCCCGGGGACATAGTCTCCCAGGCCTATGGTGCTCAGTGAGATGAAGCAAAAGTATATCGACTCCAGAAAGTTCCAGTCTTCTTCCATGATAGAAAAAATAACTGCTGGGATAAACAAAAATAGGGAGACCACAATGATTCCCAAAATCACGGCGTGGACTATAGCGACAGTCTGTTTGGTGTAGCCCCAGCGAGTGTGGATATACTGCACTGGCCGTCTGCTGACTGGGACCATGATGCGTTGAACAATTGAGGTGAGGAACAGCAGAGTGAATGGGATTCCAATAACGCAATAGATGATGCAAAAAGCCTTGCCACCATCAGAGAGAGGGACTGTGTGACCATAGCCTGGAAGACAAAAGCAGATCATAATGTTACAACCAGCAGGGGAGGCACCGCAACCAGCAGGGAGGTGACAATGAGGGTCTACAAGTACCAACACAGTCATAGCCATAAATAGATCATAGCTAAATAACTGAGATGCCTATATTCTACCATCTGAAGGGGGTGGGAGGAAAATGAAAAGTAGAGTAGATCACACATTACTCAGAAACCAATGGTACACCATTACTATCATGACTTACCAGAATAAAAGCAAAGCACTCAATCTGGTTTATAATTAGTGAGCTTTATAGAATGACTAGCAAAATCTATTAGAGCAATAAAAATGTGGTAATAATCCTTGCAGTTGATATGGGGCCTTTTATGTTGAGAAGATGTCTGAAAGCGATTCACAGGATAGACTGTAAAATGTGGTGACTGTTTTGAAGATGAATGAGTAGGACACACAAAACATGACAGGGCAACACAACAGTGTCTTGTATTGGCCCAACTTACTAACCTATACCTTATCAGAATATATGCTAGTTCCTGTGGAGTCCTGTAGCTCAGTGGTTAGAGCACTTGCCTCGCAAGTGAGAGACGTGGGTTCTATTCCCAGCAGGGCGAAATATTGGGCAAGTTTTCTTACTCCACACACCTCTGTTTACCTAGCAATAAGTAGGAATCCAGTTGTTAGTCGATTGGTGGATCGCTTTTCCGGGAATAAGAATGCTTAAAAAAAATTTGTCACTCAATCCACTGTTTGTGGGACACTGCTGTGTGCAATTGGCTGCTGTGTTTCGCCCACAAATATACAGTCAATTCACTTTACAGTATATTCCATGAAGCACTTTGAGACGTCTAGAAGACGTGAAAAGCGCTATATCAAATGGAAGGATTATTATTATATTATTACTATATTAACATTTGGGTTCAATTTAATGCATATTAATACATTAATGCCTCAACTAGGAACGGAAGGGGAGCAGTAATGGAACAATTCATTTTCTTGCCTACACAATATCTGAAAATGGGGTAAACCCAATGGTAATAATAATGATGATCCTTGCATTTGATATAGTGCCTTATCACGTCATTGAGGCATCTCAAAGCACTTCACAGAATATACTGTAGAGTGAATTGACTGTATATTTTATGGGCAAATTGTGTAGTGGATAAAGCACCAGCTTACAGACTAGAGGTTCACTGGTTCCAAACTGAGGCTGAATTTGCTGGTCTCTGCCAGGGCTGCATGGGGAGGTTACATTGCCCCTGGCCTTCCCAGGATTACAGAGAGGAAAAACAGTTACGTTTCCTTGTCCTAAGCTGTGTTCACCACCCAGTGCACATGTATGGCAGCCAGGTGAAGGTGAAAGGAAGCCCTCTAAACTGCCAAGACTCATACAATAGCCACAAGGTACCAGCACCAACAACGACAAATCATATTTATATAGTGTATGATGAGGCCCTCAGTGCGTGTGTGTGTGTGTGTGTGCCAGTGAGGCCATCAGTGTGTGTGTGTGCCAGTGAGGCCCTCAGTGTGTGTGTGCCAGTGAGGCCCTCAGTGTGTGTGTGTGTGCGCGTGTGCCAGTGAGGCCCTCTGTGTGTGTGTGTGTGTGCCTGTGAGCTCCTCTGTGTATGTGTGTGTGGGTGTGTGTGCGCCGGTGAGGCCCTCAGTGTGTGTGTGTGTGTGCCAGTGAGGCCCTCAGTGTGTGTGTGTGTGTGTGTGTGCCAGTGAGGCCCTCAGTGCGTGTGTGTGTGCCAGTGAGGCCCTCAGTATGTGTGTGTGTGTGCCAGTGGCCCTCAGTGTGTGTGGTGAATTAAAAAATGTTCAACAAATCTGCATGATGTTAAATTTTAAGATGGCTGAGATTTGATGGAATTTTGGGTCCAGTGTATGTATCCTCAGTACCAGTAATCTACAAAATTGCTGGTATTAAATGGACATTGTGAGACTGAAAAGCCACATTTAGTTGTGATGAGAGAAATTCCAGGAGTAGCAGTAAAATCTGCAGTAAAGACCTCGGTGTGTTGTCTCATCCAACAAATGTCACCCCTGACAGTGCAGCGCTCCTACAGCACTGTATTGCTTCACTGACAGTCTAGATACACTATAAGCTCAATTTATGATATTTGACATTTCAGCAGTTTTAGGAAGCAGCTGCCAGTCAGACAGGACCGTCCAGGGAGAGGATGCTGAAGGCAAATATAGACCAGGGGGCTCAGTTCAGTCAGTCACAATAACACAGCATGGGCTATAAGAGTATGAAGTGGCCACACCGGGGCAGGAAGAGATGGGCAGGAGAACCTAGAGCCTGATATGACTGGCTTTCTAGTTGTATTTATTTGTGGGGGCCATCAATATCAGAATAACATCAACATAAAATACCAAATAAAAAATCTGTAACATTGGAAATTGAATGACCAAATTAAACATGCACATTCAAAGCATTAACACAGATTCTTGGTTTCTCCTGTGGAGAAAAAGTGTGATGGAGTTTAAGAACCCAATGGCAGAAAAAGTGAGGAAAGTTTTTTTAAATAAACTGAACTGAGGAAAATGTGCATTTGGTGTGGCATATAACTAGTGGACAGAATTTACACTTTATTATTCCCGTTTGTGAAAATCATCAAAATATCACAAACACACGTATTTCCTAATAAAGCTATCAATGGGAAAACAGTACAGTAAAACTTGAATTAGTCTGATCTGTATAAATTGTATAATCACCATAAGTCGTCCATCTGGCCCAAAACCTCTTGAATTTCCTATTAAATCCTCTTAAATTTATCTGCATAGTCGTATTAATAATCACACATCTCATACCGCTGTTACCGCACTTGTTGGCTTCCCACTCCTCAAATGAAACACCATACACCCACACCACGATGCTCTCTGAATCCCAGGGAGTGCAACATCAATGTCATCACGCATGGAAGCGCACGGATGGCGGGGTGTGTGAGGCGATAGATGAAAGAGTGGCACCTGATCATGTGGTGAGCAAGGGGGCAAGGAATGCCTGATCACATGGAGAGCGAAGAGGATCCTTCACCACATACCCACTTACTGACCTTGAAGTAGCTTACGCTGTGCCCCATGTGAGACAATCGAGGGAACCTCTGTCCCAACTCGTCATGTGCACTTACTGGCTGCAATGCCGAAAGTCTGCATGCACAGTACAGAATAGTGAACAAGTAAGCAAGGCAAGATGTTGACCAGCCATTATTGTATCAGGCAATGCAAATAGCGCATCCAACTGTAAATTAGTAACAAGGAGCTATCAGGAGACGTACCAAATTTTGCGAGGCAAATCCTGAAATGAAAAACAAGGACATTGCTTCCAAGTATGATTTGGAGCCATAGACTTTGAATGATTATCTCAGAACAAGAAGAAAATGTATGATGCCAGAACTGTGCAATACAGTATATGGAAAGAATCGGCTACTATATCTTTAATATGCTTGGTAACAGAAACTTATTAAACGTGGTACAGAAACCTTGCCTTAATGTCACCAGCCAGTTCCGTACTTGTGTATTTGTGTAAGTCATATAAAATCTGACTTATACATAACTTTATATAAGTCATGTATGATATGACTTATGCAAAATTCACATCACTCATACTTTGCAAAAGTCATATTAAATGTACAGTCCCAAATGAAACGACTTATATGAGGTTTACTGTAAAATCATTTGGCATGTGAGTCATTCCAGATACAGCAGAAGAGTGATTATGGATTGCACAGCGATTGGGAAGTATTGTTGCGGTGATTTGTGAGGATGTGGATTCCTTTCCCCTACCCCCCCAAAGACATGTAATGAATCTCGGTGGGATGAGGAGAATCAGACCTCGCTGGAGAGAGAATTTGTAGGGGCATGGAGAAAAAGTAGGCAAGTACGACCGAATGCATTGCTCTTTCAGGAAGCCAGCACAGACACGATAGGCTGAAGGATCCCTTTCTATCCTGTATGGTTCTTAATAATAATAATAATCCTTGCATTTGATATAGTGCTTTTCACATCTTCTAGATGTCTCAAAGCGCTTCACAGAATAGGCTAAAGTGAATTGACTGTATATTTGTGGGCGAAATGCAGCAGTCAATTGTGCACAGCAGTGTCCCACAAACAGTCGTGGATTGAAGTGACCAATTTATTATTGTTTTTTTTTCTTGAGGGATTATTATCAGGCATGTGGAGCAAGGAAACTTGCCCAAGGTTTAACCCTACTGGGAATTGAACCCAGGTCTCTCATTTGCAAAGGGATGCTCTAACCACTGAGCTACAGGACTCCATTGTGGTTTGAACCACATTAAGTTTCATTCCCTTTCTCCCCACATAAAAGGAATTTCAGCAGCTTTCCTGCAAAACAAAAACAGTGCCCTCGTCCATCTCGCAAGGTTGTTACTTTTGGAAGAAATAACCTTGTACCATGATGAGTTATTCACAAGGCAGCCTGGTACAATGCTGCCTGTCCGTCGGTTAAACTGAAAATCAGAAATACTAATAAAAATACAATAATAATAATAATAATAATCCTTGCATTTGATATAGCGCTTTTCACGTCGGGAGGACGTCCCAAAGCGCTTCACACACACTGTAAAGTGAATTGACTGTACATTTGTGGGCGAACGCGGCAGCCAATTGTGCACAGCAATGTCCCACTAACAGTCATAGATTGAAAATGACCAATTTATTATTGTTTTTGGTTTTGGAGGGATTATTATTAATAATAATAATAATAATTATCAATAATCCTTTCATCTAGCAATAACGTTGAAGAGTCTAACAACAGTTTACAGTAATTATTGTTCAATGTAGTGACTATGTTTTACAGGTGAACACAGCAGCTAATTTGCACACAGCAATGTTTCAGACTCAAAGACTCAGCCACATCACAGAGGTTTGCATTATCCTGAAAAAGATCATCTGATCTAATATAACTCCAATTGATATTTGGAAAAATTAAAACTTTTTTGACATGTGATGCATCAAAAAGGTCAATAGTGGAATGTTGAACGGCAGGACC